TTCTAGTCCTATATAACCGTCCCCAAGATGGACCTTTTGCAGTATCACCCCGGTTGGCTTCCATTCAGTCTCCCGATGAAACATGAGTCTGTACCGGTCCGCATGTCTCCTTGGAAACGATATATATATATATGTATATAAAATAAGAATAATGAAAATCAAACCACAGCAGTCACAGTGAAAAAAAGCTGCGTTCCTCGCCTCCAACTTACTCCGCTCTTCCCCCCCCCCCCTCTCTCTACCGCAAACACGAGGACTCGATTCCAAACACGGCAAACATCCTTAGAACATATGGAGAGTGAAATCGGCTCGGTAGGCCCGAGGTGGAGGGTCCAACGTCGTATCTATGCTGTAATGAAGCCCTTAACAGCAGCCCTCCATCCACACTACAGCATCTGTGTGCGACGAGAAAGAGGATGCAACACATTAATAATATATCCGTTTTTTTCTTTCTTCTTTTTTTCAGTGCGTCGTAGCTGACGTCTGTCTCGTTCATCGTCTCCCCAGACCCACATTAAAAAGGAAGAGTCCGACATCGATGTGATCAACGTGTGTGACAGCAGAAAGGGGGTGTCGCCACCCCTTTTTTTCTTTTTTTTTTTTCCTTTTTTCCATCTACCTCTTCTTCTTCTTTCCCCACAGATGCTGCAGTGATCTCGTAATGCGTCACGAAGACGGACATGTAGCGCCTCGTTCTTTTTTCGCCCATGTCTTCATGAGATAGTAGGGGGGAGGGGGGAACGAAAGAGAAAGTAGTAGGACTAAGGGGGGGAAGGGGGAGGGAGAGAGAAAGGAAGAGAGAGAGAAAGAGAAAGGGAGGGAGGGAGGGAGGGAGAGAGAGAATAGAAAGGTGGGATCTCGAGAATACAACAGGTACATGTAGTAGTAGTATGGCCTTGTATAACCAAGGACCCCTCCGTGACTATGTAGCGGTACTAGATAGTAGTAGTACTAGGCAGATGGCCCACGTACTCGGTAGAAAGAGGGCCCTCGTGATGGGTCGCGGATATTCATTATCCTGGTTGGCTAAGTAGACTTGGCATTTTATCCGGCCACAGGACAATAAGGCTCCCCCCCCCTTTCTGCCTTCCTGAGAGGGGAAGATGGGAATGGGAAGGTCAGACCTTGGCGGCTCACAGTAGATGAGGTGAGTGGCGGAATGTCCGGTCTGTAACCGGTGCTGACGAGGCCTGATATGTATTGAGTTGTCTTCGACCCTTGGGACAACAGAAAGAGAAAGCATGGCTGACACTTTGGGTCTTGCTGCTACACGTATAGCCCAAGATGATGAGTCTCGACCTTCTCTCTCCCTCTCTCTTCCTCTCTCTCTCTCTCTCTCTCTCTCTCTTCCTCTTCCTGTCTCTCTGCCTCTCTCTTCTCGAGCTGCCCTCCTTGGAAGCAGACGCCGTATGTAGACCACTTTTTTTTCGCCTGCTGCGCGTCACCTCGAGAACAGCAGCATCTCATCTACCATACAAGGAAGGGAGAGGGGGTCCCCCCCCCCCCCCCCCCCCCCCCCCCCCCCCCAACCCAGGGCGGTAGCTTTTCCAGCAAGTTCCTCTCTCATGATTCGGGACCCTTGGACCCTTACTGGCTTGCTAACGCCCACAATTTGACCTGCTGCCCACCTCTCTCCTCTCATAAGTGTCGGCTCGTACGGGTCTTGGCGCCGAAGGCCTGCCCACCCCATCCCCATCTTGCAACCCAACCCCGGTCGTCCTGGAAGCCAGATCGCTTACGAGTGCTCTGATCTGGCGGGAGAGGAGGGAGAGGAGTCACACTATAGGCAGGACGGTCATACGGAGGCGGAGGAAGGGCACAAGGGTGGGAGGGGCCATGACTCGAGCCCAAGTGGCATGGCCGATACGTGTGGCAGGACAGCGAAGTCTCTTCCATGCACCTGTGGGCTGCTGCCCTCGCAGAGAGGAAAGAGAGAGGGAGAGAGGGGGGGGAGAACACGCCACACGCCTTCTCTCCTCCCTCTCTACATCCCTCCCTCTCTCTTGTGGCGAACTATCTCTTTCTTCTTTCTCCTATTGAGAATAAAGGGCTGGACATGTCCGGGAAACACACACACTCACACACACACACATACACACACATATATATATATACATATACACACATACACACACACACACATACACACATACACACATACCGGGGAAACGTACCAAAGTTTCGTGCGAAATCAGACGACAAGGCTCTCAACACGGTACATCTGTCTGTCCTTGACAAAACAGTAAACACTGTGAGAAGGGAGGAGAAGAAGAGGAAGAGGGACGGAGTGTGTGCAGCTCGCGTGGGTAACTGTGCCTGTGTAACCTCAAACCCATGTCCCGGTACCAAGATCGACAGTCCGGTCCCAGGCCTCCTACGCCACCAGGCCCACGGCCAGGACCCATCAGTCCGGGCCCCCCACCGCCTCCAACCCCTCCGCCTGGGAGGACACGACTGCCAGCGTCACTGGTAGCTAGCTTCGAGGGTGAGTCCCAGCCTCCTGTCCCCTCGACCCCAATTCCCCCCCTCTCCATCGACATACTCACTAGATGCCTACAAAGGGGGGCGGGGAAGAGGGGAGGAGAGGAAGCCAGGACGAGGCGTCGTGAAGCCAAGGTAGAGGGACAGACGAGATTGGATGGCTCCATGTCATCGGAAGAGTTTCTATTGGAAGAGAGGGGGGGGGGGGGGGGAGGTGATGCCATCACATGAAACGTCTCGTGTGGCATGAGGACCAGCTTCAGCGATGGGAGAGCTGAGAAGAAGCAAAAAGTAGCAAAGGTCAGGGTAGAGAGTATAAAGAAGAGACCTGTACCCACGATTCCGAGGATACTTTTTCAACTGCCACCCATGGCTTTCTTTGCATAATGCTGCCGGTATTAATGTAGCATGACGTTTCGCTTAGACCCTTGTCCAATATCGACGTCGAAATTGAACTTTTGTCCACTCGCCTCAACTCATACAACTTACCCGGTAGCCGTCTGCGCAGATAATCCCGGTGAGGAAACCCCGTCGATGTAATGATCTCGCATAGGATGGATTCAAAAGGAATCCCTCTGGCAGATCCTGCCACGGGATACCAGGTTGGGTCAGAAAAAAAAGAGGAAAAAGAAGAAAGATTTCATCTCGGAAAGGTGAGTTTCGACAAAATGTTTTATTGCGGAGCAGAAGTCTGATCCAGATGCCCCTCATCGACGACACATGTCAGATCAGGTGGGGAAGTAATACCCATGTATCAGATATAGATGGCAAGCTCACCGCAATAGAGAGAGAGAGAGAGAGAGAGAGAGAGAAGCAATGTATCGGCTGACATTAATGTACGAGCAGAAACGTCATCAGCTGATAGAAGTATAAGTGTCTGATAACACGATGATGGCCGTGTGAATCTGTCAGACTCATCATCCTCCCCCCCTCTTTCCCTCGTGCCTGACATATGCAGGAAGAAAGGTCGCATCTCCCGACAGTCTGGGACACATACGTACGCCGCCACCTAGAGAGTTTCGTTTCCGAGAGCGACAAAGTCATCATGCATGGAGAGGCCAAATGTTCCGTCTCGGGGAGAGGGGGTTGAGGGCAAAGGGCAGACAGACGAGAGAGACCGGGCGTGCGGCGCAGCCTGGCTTCGACATCGTCACCACCGCCACGCCAACCACCACATCCCACTTCGCAATGCATTCTCGTCTGCTGGGCGGAGACTGTCCACGAAAGCGTCGCCATCCAGCTCCGGTGGCTACTCGTGTACACGTCCAGGAGACCATACCAAGGCAACTGCCGTGTCCGGGTGGGTGAGGAAGCATGACGGGAACACGAAGCATGATGGGAGCACGAAGAGCCGCCCCCGCCACACACACACACACACTCGTCCTGTCCTCCTCAGGTTTCCGCTATCTCTCCTGGCCCAAAGCACGGTCGACACCGCTGCAGAGATGCGAGACAGAATGTAGCCATCTTGCGAGATTCACGAAAGAAGAATGTCTCATTAGTTTATCGTCAAAAGATGACCTAGGCAAGTCTGTCCATCTCAATCATTACCACCCAGAATGGCATATATATCGATCGAAGCTACAAGAAACAGCACCGAAAGCAAAAAAAGAGAAAGAGATTGAAGAGCGAAGAAAAGTAGAATTAGATGGAGAAAACAGGATAGATGGACAAGGAACCTGACCTGATTGCCACATCTAATACACCTGGTAAGACTCAACCACAAGCACTAGAATCTACAGACAGACTCCCTTCACAACCAGGCTATCTCGGCTCCGAGACCGAGACCGAGACCGAGGGCACCGACGGCCACGCCGGCCAGGTGGCCGGTAACGCGGGCGGCCAGGGCGGTGTTCGTGTCAGTGGTGATGCGCGTGGCGGTGGTACCGGCCGTGGACGTCGGGCGGGTGGACGAGGTCGTGGTGACGGGGCAGCTGACGGTGCAGGGCAGGTCGGAGGTGAACGGGTTGGCGACGGAGCTGATGGGGAAGAGGGCAGGCTGGCTGTTGGCCTGAGGGTCGGGCAGGACGGCGGAGTCGGGATTGAGGACGTTGGAGATGAGGTGCATGATGCCGTTGGCGATGAGGATATCCGGCTGGACGATCTGCGCCGAGTTGACGTACCTGTCGTTGCCGGCGACGCGCACGGTCAGGGACAGGTCGTCGCCGGCCAGGGTGGGCAGGTGGGACCCGTTGGTCAGGTCGGACGAGACGATGACCTGGTCGTGGACGAGGTGGTAGGCCATGACGCGCCCGAGGTCGTCGCCGTCGAGGTCGAGGAGCGACCCGCCTATCTGGTCGAGGGCCCTGTCGACGGGGGCGAAGACGGTCAGGTTCCTGCGCAGCGCCACCCCGGGCATCAGGCCTGCCGCGTACAGGCTGCCGAGGAAGTTGGGGACCTTGAAGGCGTCCGACGTGGCGCCGAGCTGCGCGGGCGGGACGAGCAGGTTGTCGACGATCTGGATCAGACCCCCCGTGAAGGCGATGTCGCTCTCCTGGACCGTGCACCGCGTCCCCATGCTGGTCGTCAGCACCACCGTGCCGTCGCCCGACTTGTTGATGACCACCTTCTGCCCAGACGTCACGTTGGTGTACCGCGGGTCGTCGAGGAGGGTAGACTCGATCACGCTCGGACCAGCCTCGAGCGCACCGGTCGCGACGGTCCCCTGGACGATGTGGTACTGCAGGAGGGGGACCGTCGTCGTCTTGTTGTCCGGGTCCCAGACCTGGTTGAGCGCAGTGTAGGGGATGTTCTTGAATGCTTCATTGGACGGAGCGATAATCTTTCTTGTTTGTTTTTGGTTTTTCGTTCGTTTTTCACATTCCCCACCTGGTGTCAGCCTATGGCATCATCGTCTGAGCCGAGAATGGTCTTCTTCTCTTCCTTTCTCCTCCTCCTCCTTCTCTCTCCAAAGACTTACCGTCACGCCACCATAGCTAGGCAGTTGAAGGAGCACATCGGGGTATTTCTGGGTCAGTGCGCAGTCAGCCTCGAGCCGAACCATCTCTCCTCTCGTCCACATATCGACACGAAGACTCGGAGCTCACCTTGATGAGATTGTAGAATGTGCTGAGGTCTCTGATCCCGGCAAGAGTAGAGCCCAGATCCTCGACCTTTTCCTGGGCTGACGCCACAGATGCGAGCCCTGCGATGGCAACGAGAAGCTTTGCGACCAACATGGTAGGAGATCTCGATGATGATGTTGAAGCAATGTCGTCTGGCTGCTGTCTGGCTGTCCGGTGGAAGACGATTGGCTCAGCTAGGCACTCTCGATGCTCCTTGTCTCCCGTCTGAGGAGGATGGATTGCGCCAGAGGAGGCAAGCTGTTCACCAGAAGTAAGCGTTGATATGGGATGTCAATGGCTATGAATACAAAAGATATCCATGCCAAGATCTGATGCGTATATGTGTGTGTGTGTGTATGTGTGTGTGTGTGTGTGTGCACTGACCTCAATAGTAAAGAAGAAACTGGAAATGGTCTAGATCAACCCGACTACAATAGCAAGTAATGATATAGTATATATTAT